TATATACTACTAAAACTCAAGTTTGTTTACATGTTTGAATATTTATTTGTTTTTTTGTTTGTCTGATTGACTATTGTAAATGGTTCTACTCTATGTGGAGAGCTGTAAAATAGTATGTAGGTAGAGAACAATTTTTGTTTTCAGACAGACTGTTAATCACCAATTTATTTAAAGACGTTAATTAATTAATTGATTTATTCATAGGTAGATTAACCACATTAATTTTAAAGTTTTAGAACAATGACTTAACTTTGACTGAATAGTGACGTTTAATAACTCATTTTTTTGTTTGTTTGTTTTTCTGATTTGTTATTGGGGGGAATCTGCATTATGTGTAGAGCTGTAAAATAGGATTTTGGGTGGTAAATATTGTTCCTTCTTAAACACACTGTTAATTACAAACTAATTTAACGCCGTTTATTAATTTATTGATATATTTATAAGTAGATTGACCACATTAATTATAAAAGTTTAGAACGATGACTTTAGTAATAGTAAAAGGGTTTATTTTCTTTTTAACAACAATGTTTTCAATTATAAGGCCTACATGTGAATGATAAGGTTGACTATCAGGACCTCGCGGGGCACGGGGCAGGTGAAGTATAGTTCATCTGTTTTTTATGTTCTCAGCATATGAAGGGATAGTGTGGTCAGAGCCATGCTCGGCCGGAATCGTTTTTTTTTTTTATTCAAACATGTCTGAGACTTGGCGGGACACTGGACAGGTGAGGTAGAGTTTAGTAGAGTTTTTAAAATATAAAAAACGTCTTTTTGAATGTGGGGTCTGGTTATTTTGGGATGATAAGTGCTGACATGCGTGAGGTCATTTATGGATGACCCCCGAAACCCACAGTTATCTAGCTAGATAACGGGTAGTCTAGTATACTACTAAAAATCAACTTTGTTTACATGTTTGAATATTTATTTGTTTGCCCGATTGGCTACAGGAGAGAATATGCACTATGTGTAGAGCTGTAAAATAGTATGTAGGTAGAGACAATTTTTTTGTTTTCAGATAGGCTGTTAATCACAAATTTATTTAAAGACTTTAATTAATTAATTGATTTATTCATTGGTAGACTAACCACATTATTTATGAAAGTTTAAAACAATGGCTTTACTTTGAGTTAATAGTGACGTCACATGATTTATTTACTTTTTACATGAACAATGGCGGCTTCCATCGAAGATTGTGTTCCCATTGTAAAGCTAATTTTGTGTCGGCTATAGCTTAAATGATACGTCCGTTTGCTATTTTTAATACGTTCCAACACTTATATAAATTTTCAACAGTCTTTGTCATTTAGTTTTACAATAAATTTCTCTAGCTCTACAATCTAAAGATCAGCTATAGAAGAAAGTTATTTATAGATCTAAAGATCAGCTGGCCAAGAAAGTTATTTATAAATCTAGAATCTAGGTCGAACCAAATTATTTTAAAATCAGAATAATTTATGAGTTTCTTTATTAAACTATTTTAGTCCTTAAATATTTGATATAAATCTTCCCTTTTTAGATTCACGGATAATCTAATTCAAGAATACAAGTGATTTATCTATCTAGGTTCTAGATCTAGATCTAGATCTAGATCTAGAACTAGACTCTAGAGTTACGGAAAATACTAGATCTAGACTTAACCAAACCAATCGTAAAATCTAGATAATTCTAACTAGATCTAGATAATAATGAGTTTCTATACTAAACTGTTTCAGACGTTTATTATTTTATATAAATCTTTGTTTGTTTAACTATGCAATTGGCTAATTTAAGTTAAAATTTAATTTGAAAGATACTAGATCTAGATCTAAATCTAGGGCCTATGCGCGTAAATCAAGTTTCATAAGGAGACTCAAAGTATTATTAGATCTATATAGCACAAAAAAAACGTCAATGTCTAGATAGCTAAGTTGTTAGTGTAATATGCTTCCATGCGGATGGCACGGGTTATAGACACATCATTTTAATGTTAAAAACAATTTCAATTATTTTTTTTTGGTTGCCTATCTGAACTTGGCGGGATACAGGGCAGGTGAAGTAGAGTTCACCTGTTTCTTTATCTCAGATCAGAGACATACTCGGCGAAAGTTTTGACACCCCCCCCCCCATGAGACGATCCTGGCTACGCCACTGGCGATGATAGTGTATTAGTTACCATGCGGGTGGTAATTGTTCGAGAGTAGGTACTCTAAAGTGCCGAAAATCGAGGTTTCTGCTAAATTTCACTACGTTCTATCACAAAGTTCTCCCATTAAAAATCAGCGTATAATAATAAAAATCGTATGGCTAGAAAGCTTAACTTAATCTCTACAATAATATGTTGTTTGTTTTTATGTTGGTTAAGGAAGAATACATGTTTTTGTAGCTCGAAAAAAATCACCGCGACGATTTTTATCGGCAAAATTACAGATCCGTTTTTAACACTATTGCATTCTGACGCTTTGCGCTTCGGTGCCATGTGACGTATGAATTTTAAACTTAGCTTAACGTACGCAGGATTGAATGATCTTTAGTCTAGTATAAAATGTTAATAAATTATTTTACTAACAACGGCTTAATTCTCAAGTTTTCTTCAAAATGTTAATTTTTACCAAAATCCACTAAAAATACAAATTTTTGACTAGCATGGTTAGAAAGATCGTTCATTTTTCTATTTACATGCGAAAATATCTTTATCTGACAAAAACATGTTGTCTGAGGCTTGGCGGGACATAGGGCAGGTGAAGTAGAGTTTATCTGTTTCTATGATGAAATTCTGAGGTGTAAAACGGTGAAAACTGTCAAAATTTCATGTGATTTTGTGCACGATTATACTCTGAGTACGAGAAAGTAAAAACCACACGAAGATTCACAAATAACACATTAAAATTGAAATACACGAAGTACTATTTAACAAAACATGTTACAGCAGGCCACAAAATTTCTTTTTTTTCCCTTTTTACTTTCTCGTATATACGAAGTATCAGTGGCGGACCTAGAAAAAAAAAGCCACCCTTCAAAAACAAATTATAAAAGTTATGGTGCCATTAAATTTACATTTTTATTGAAAATGAAAATTATCAAACATTTTAAAAAGGAAGTACATTCAATTTACATTTTCAAAAATGTATAAATCAATTTTATATGAAAAAACGGTATAACATTCAATGTACATTTTTAATATAACATATTTATCATTCTAGTATGGAAATATGATTAACATTCACTTAACATATTAATTGAAGCGTATATAGCATTTTAATATGAACATCTGAACATTCAGTGTACTTCATTGAAACATATTCACCACTTTTATTTACAAATATGATTAACATTCAGATTACAATTAATTTGTTTTAATGCTGAAACCATTAAATTCAATGTGTTTATTCGAGCGCCTGTGGATATACAATGTTTTTTTTTTTGTTTTGTCTTCTGGTACGTATACGAATACGTATAAATCAGAAGATTTTCCCACACGTGAGCAAGCAACATGTAATTGCCCATGTGAGAAACATGGGTTCTGCAAGTTTAAACCACATACTTGCATGGATTGGTCTTGCGCTTTATTTATTGTCATGGCAAAAGCCAGGTGTACTGGAAATTGTAAGCGTTTAAAATCAAACGGCATGTCTGTTGGTATCATTGGAATACGTGGCAACAACACATGTTCACCCTTGAATTTTCCAGTCAAAATAGTTGCTTCAATGATATTGTGCATCATTTTTTTTTACTGCGTCTTGTACCGTTGCACAGTCGTGGTGGATTTATATTTCTAAGGAGAATGATAGGCGCACCAAGTTTCAGACTTAATATATGCGGCGGTATACTTGGCAAATCCAATGAATTTAAGAATTCTGTCGGATAACTGACAACTTCGTCTTGATTTATCACAGTGTCTATTGACTTGTACGTTGTCTCTTCTCCTGGCATTCTCTTTTGAATGGTGAAATTCATGTCGTTGACATCGCTGTTTGTAGCAGCTAATACGGCACTTTCACTAAGGCACTGATGGTTTTCAAACTTCTGTGAGATATTTGTGAAAACCTTTTCAATTAAGTCGTCTTGACTTGATGTCATGTTGCAAAAGTTTTCTGGCAAGACGATATATTGTGACGATCTGTCAACTGCCATCTTCCCATTCCCAATATCCAGCAATTGTTTTGCGAAACGTTCGGCGGATTCATCATTTTGAAGTTGAACACGCATGTTGGTTTTCAAGGTTAATTTCTTTACATGTCTCCATAGAACAGATGATTTGAGACAAGCATTAAGCTCATCAGCCGGTGTTGAACGTGGTATAACTGGCAGAGTTTGTCTAAAATCACCCGACAATAAAATGAGTGCTCCGCCAAAGGGTTTTTTACTTTCTCGTATATACGAAGTATAGAGAAACTCTTGTAATCGTGCAAAAAAAAAAAATCGAGATTTTTACAAATCTCGACGTTTTACACCTCACTGATACGGAAAAACATAATTTTGCAATCTTGTCCGTATGTCTGTGTGTCTGTGTGTGTGTCTGTCTCTCTGTCTGTCCGTGTGTAAACACGATAACTTGAGTACCGTTACAGCTAGGTTGATGAAATTTCATGTATTTAATAAAATGGATTAAAAATCATGTCTATAGCCCGAGTTCCCATCCCCTGTTATTTTATATAAGAATATTCGAGAAAGTTTAGGGGAGATCACTCCCGGTTTATTTCTTTTCAAAACGTAAAGTTCACTGTCGTTGATTTTAACATGTAAATAAAAGCAGCTTACTATATTCGTCTTTAATAATGCAAAAGCTGATTTTCCTTTGCTTTTATATACATCGAAGTGACTGATGCAAGTTGTTAACTTTACTAATGGTGTATTTTTAGGGATTAGCCCGTAGTGACGAAACGAAAGTACAGACATTTTAAACTTGGCCGTACTGGCGAAAATCCCGCAAAAATATTTTAAAGTAATGAACAGCTATGGATCGTTGTTTATTTTACTTAAATAATTTGCGATGCCGGAACTAAATCCAACAGAAAACATAATAAATCGATTTGGTGGGAAATATTAATATATTTTTTGTAGAAAATAAAATAGATCTTGGCACTGATTGGTAAATTACACAATAATTAGAATCTACATCTAGATTCTAGATCTAGATCTAGAAGGGGTAAAACTATTTTAACGTATTTTATTCCCCGCTTCACGTTCACCTCCAGTTGAGCGTATTTTATTATTAATTATAGGCCTAATTAATATATTATTAATAATTTATTAGGCTTAGGCCTATTAAATTAATAATTTATTAATATGTATAACATTTTTAATTTTTTTTTATTGATAACCCTTGCCTTAGCTAGCATAGCACGGGTTGGGGTGCAGACTGCACCAGATGACACAATTTAAGGGGGTGACGCCAAGGCAAAAAAAAGCAAAATATAGGCCTACAGAAGAAAAATGTTGTTTTGCCAGTCCCATTAATGATTAATTAAAGTTAAATAGTCTTTTTAATTTTAAGTACAAATTGACAATTATTACCAAACGTACTAACTATAGAGAAAACATTGCTACATCCAAGTTCCAACTGTATTATTAACAGACTGAAGATAAACATCGTTACTTGGGTGACACCCGATCTAGCGATGCCATTGGGCCTTAGACCTAAGCACTTTATTTAAATTTTTGCTACTTTCAGGTTCTCTCAACATGGAGACAGGAATAAGACAGACACAGGGACAAAGATACCAACAATTTTTTAAACTTGAACACTGCAATCAACTGATTTACAACCCTCTGTATTCAAGTGGCTAGAGTACTACCATGTATGTTACTTTAACAGTTTGGGTTTAGAATATGCTTACAGTAGGTCCATTAACAGTTAATTGTTCAGATCCCTTTATGTGACTTCTGTGGGTGGGGGGACTATGCTACATTCTAAATTTTAAGTATTCCATTTAAGAGTGTAAACTAAATTAAGATATTAGTATCACTTTTAAGCACCATTTATAATAAAGTGAGCTGATCTTGTCATTGTTTTGCAGGTGTTTTGTGCTTATGGGTTTATGATTAGGCCTACAGTAAAAAATAAAACCAAGTGCTGTGATAGGTTGAAACAAACGAGGTATGATTGTAAATATGAAAGAATTTCCAATCTGATTTAATTAAAGTTAAAGGTGAAATTTATTGTACAGACTTTTGTAGGTAAACTAATTGCATTATAACAGTAAAAAATGTAACACTGAATAATAAAGCTGAATGATAAATTAAAAACCATTATGTAGAGCTGAACTGTTGTGATTGTATTTTGTTAATTTTTTTTTAATTTGTACATGTTAAGCTTCCTTTCAGGTCCATGGGGCTAATGTAGAGATCATGAGTATCTCTGTAGACAGCTCTTGACATCCATATTGTGTGGAGGATGTTGGATACTTTGCTGATGTGTCTTTTGATGTCCTCATCTGCTGTCCCATCTTCTTACAACAGATCCTAGATGTGTGAAGTGATCCTGCTCCGAAATAGTCATTTCTTGTGTCCTAAGTGGAACTCCTGTTTGTTGTTGATTCTTATCACTTCTGTTTTTTCCAGTTGATCATTAAGCCTATATTAAGAAGGTTCATCATAGTTTACTTAGCGTGAATTGGGCATGTTGTCAATGTGAGAGTATAGCATCCTCAATATCTAGACCTCCAGCTAAGTGAGGGTCCACTGAATTCCACCCTTTTGGTCTGATGTACTTTATTGTTGAAAAGCGTATAACATTTCTGTACTCACTGAAAAAGGGCTGGTTAACTTGTGGATAATCTGGCAGTTGGAGTCTTTGTAGAGGTGTTGGATAATATTGCTGAATTTCAGAGGAGTTTCTTAGCGATTGAATGTGCAAATTCAATTTTTTCAATAGGTTGGCTTTCATGTAGAGATATTCTGCTACGCAGTATTTGTTTATAGATATGTGTATCTATCTATATATATATGCATATATTTATGTTTGTGTGTGAAACTAAGGTCTAGTTACACACAGTCATATAATATTAAAAACTTGTTAGATTAAGATGTGTATTAGAGATTGTCTGTAGCCATCAAATTTTTATTTATTCTGGAGGTTGTATGTATTGATTCCATTTTGTCTAGTTATTGAGCACACTGAAATCTGCTAATATTGATTTATCTACCTACTTACTTGTCCACTTGTAACCTATATGATCTATTACTTAATTGTAGCATCAAAAGTATTCTTTTAATGTGAATAACATTTTTAAACAAGTAAACTATCACTTCTTGTTTGTTTGTTTTTTTGTAGTTCACTCAATGTCATGTTACAGTATAAATTTAAGTAGCCAGTTTGTGTACCTGTAATTTTCTTGTAGTGGAAGGGCATTAATCTCACAGTGAAGTAACCATTTCTAGCATTTACTATGATTTACACCAGTATTAGTAAAAGTAATTTAAGAGAATTGCAAATTGCATATTTTTATGCATCTGTATTGGAAGGTTAAAAAAATAAATAATTATGCACATTATCAAACTTCATATATATAGTTAACACATACATTAAAGTATAGCAAAGCAGTGACGTCGCTACGCCTCTGTAGCAAAGTGTATATGATATATCCCACTGACAAGCTTTTAAAAATGTAGGATACCAGCACAGGCGACAATGTCTCAATCACTAGTAAATAGGCTTGAAAGTACTACATGGACTTGCACAACTAATTGAGCTGTAATGTTGCAAGATATGTATGGCTTAATAAAAAGCAAGGGATTAATATATCAGTGTAGTTTTTATGTACGAGAGGTTTATGGGAATTAGGGCAAGTGTCTAATATCAGAAAGGGATGCTAGTTACGGCACTTCATGAACAACGAGAGCTTCATTTATGACAGGATTAATCAGGTTAATTTCAAACTTTTGCTTGGGGGGGGGGGTGATCACCTTTATTACAGAAGTAGGTGAGGATGTCAGATTTAGGGAATTTACAAGAGTACCCTAATGTTTGTTAGTAAACCGGTAATAAAATACTTTCTGGCTCTAACACCGATCTGGACTTCATGAACTTTATAAGTAGGTACTAGTTAGTTACACGTCAAGTACATTACTCGTTAACTAAAATAGTGTTTTACATGTTCTATATGCCGCTCTAAAAGAATGAGTTACTCCAATGCCAACTTTCTCAAGTACATCCACTCTGGATTTAGCATTCATTCTGATCTAGAAGACGTACTTCTGATGCAAGGTAAGATACAAGAATCTGACGAAGAAAAGTTTACTCGTGACCCAGAGAAAAAAAAATTCACCTGGTCAGCCTCATTCACAAATATTGACAAACTTTAAGCGATTAGCCCCAGAAACCACGATGACAATAGTACAGAAAACAATACCAACGTAAGTCAAAGCTCGGCAAGGTGGGATGCGATTTCTTTATGATGGTTTAATCAATTTCAGAGAGAACAAATACAAGAACAAAGTTTCTTCCAGACAGAGTTTCTTCCAGGCATCTCTTTCACCGCCCCCCCCCCCCCCGAACAAAGTGGAATTTATATAGAAAATATATACTTTCGACAGTGTCCGCCCCCCCCCCCCCGGAAATTGTTGTCCGCCCCCCCCCCCCAAAAAAAAAAAATCAAGTGCACCCCCGGAGAAAAAAGTCTGGAAGAAACACTGCTTCCAGGCATCTCCCCCCCCCCCCCCCCGAAGAAAGTCTACCGCTTCCCCACCCCCCCCCCCCCCCCTTGAATGAAACGGATTTATATTGAAAACATACTTTTACCAGTGTCCGCCCCCCCCCCTCCGGAAAATGTAGTCCCATCCCCCCTCCCCTAAAATATCAAGTGCCCTCCTTGAGAAAAAAAGAAACACTGGACAAGAATATGATGTATTTTCGATGTTTGCTACGTATTAATTACAAAGGTAGATTGAGAACAGAAGAAGGGCCTAGATCTAAGCGAAATACTTATTAAATGGATGACGAAATAAAATAATTTTTTGCTCATTTTGTTTCTAACTCGTATGTGTTTCAATGAATTCATAAGTTACATTTTTAATAACTGGCAAAAAGTCTTTTTCCCGCTCTTTAAGCCAAATGTAAATGAGATTCGCAGGCGCTTAAATTTGTAGCTCTTCGGGGAAACCTGCCATTGAGTATGCTCAAAATTCACATAGTTTTTCATTTCATGTCGATCGGATGAAAGGTGTAATAATGCATAAAGGACCCCCCCCCCCACACACACCACATTTTGTTGTTCACTTAATTTTGTGACCAAATATTGACCTAAGCCAAATCATGCATAAACGTGAAAAAAAAACAATAAATTAAATTATCTCAATCGTTTTCTGAAACTAAGAGAAACTAAATAACGTCACGCTTTTATTTTACGATTTTTACCCCCCCCCCCTCCACCACACGTCGTCACAAAAAACCAGACCTCCACCCCTAAAATGACGCCACTCCTCAGCCTACAACCCCCTTCATAATTGCTATTAAATTTTTCTTAAAACATCGATATTTTTCCAAATTCTTGTCAGACCTCTGTCAACATAGAGTATTTTGATCAATTCCTATTACAGTTTATTAAAACAGTTTTCTAAAATACGAAATAACGGCTAAAACTCGTTTTCTAAAATTGCTTTTTTATAATGCAAGAAGGTGACGTCACCATCTGACACCCCCCCCCCTCATCACAAAATTACGGCCGCCTCCCCCTACGAGTGTGACGTCATTTATGGACGACCCCCCCCCCCCCCCCCCCTTATACAAAGTTGAAAGCAAAACCAACCCATACTTTAAATTTACTAAACAATGCTTACAATCAACACCAGGGGTCTCCAAACTTTTCAGCCCGAGGGCCGCATTAACAATAAAAATCAGTTCGGGGGCCAGAGTTTTTTCCAGGCATCTCTTCAGGGAGGTAGAGACGGTAAACGGAAAAAAAGTCACAGGAAAAAAAAACAGAAAAAAAGTCACAGTTTTTGCTAGGAAAAAAAGTCACAGAAAAAAAGTCACAGTCGAAAAATTTTATCGGAAAAAAAGTCACAGAAATAAAGTCACAGAAAAAAAGTCACAAAAAATATTTTTAGAAATATTTTTATTAATTTGTTAAGAATTGTAAAATTGTGTATGTTTATTGTTGTGGGTTGTATTTTTTGATAGCATAAATTATTTATAGACGTTAAAAGCATTATGATTTATAACAATTGTAAGTAAAAATACTCTAAGATAATTAACACAACAATCTCAACTTTTGTTGCGTATTTAGTTAAATACGCGGTAGAAAAGTTAATTAAAGAAATTTAGGCACATTTTGCCGTAGGCTATTCTCTGGTCGGCCTCTCCTCAGTAGGCATTGTCCGAACATATTTTGTGTTGTTGACGTTATGCGTCAATGGCAGCCTTTGAACCTTGTGATAAATGTGGGCAGTAAGGGTGGTTGAACTAAACATAACTATTGTTGCCATGAGTTGAGGGCAGCAAGTCAGATGAACTTACCATTTCACTGTAATTTAATATTGGTATTTAAAAAACAAACACGATGAAAAACGTGGACTTTGGAGCATTCTATTAAATGCTACTAATCTTAAGTTTAAAATAATTACAATCTACATACTTCATAATAAATATTTTTAGATGAATTATAAAAATTCCTATGCGTATACAGCCTAAACACATTACATTACATTTAATTAATCCTAAGTTAATTTGCACTCTCTAATATTTAATACATAAAAGTATTAACAAATATCATGCAAATATATATTTGTGACTTTTTTTCCTGTGACTTTTTTTCCTGTGACTTTTTTTCCTGTGACTTTTTTTCTGTGTTTTTTTTTCCTGTGTTTTTTTTTCCTGTGACTTTTTTTCCTACAATCGGTAGAGACACCCCCCCCCCCCCGAAGAATATCTACCTGTCCCCCCCCCCCCCCGCCCAAGAAATAAAATTTATATAAAAAATATATACACATTTCAAGTGTCGTCGTCTAGCCCCTCCCCTCGGAGAAAAAAAGTCTGAAAGAAACACTCTCGGGGGCCGACAACACACTCCAGGTCCAAGTTTGTTCTCAAATTGTTCTTCACATATTTCATTCTTGAAAATGTTCACACAGGTGTGTTGCAAAATTTGAAAAGTACTTTGATGCAAAAGTTTTAGGAAAGTCTTCCCTGGTCATAAAAGTATTATAAAAACCCACCCGTCCTTCTTTGAACTAGTCTCTAAGGAGGTCATTTGCTTGCAATTCGATGACCCCCCAGCTGCAGTTGATCTGGGCAACTGCCCACATTTTCTTCAAATGGGTTATGAAACAGTCTCACTTCTTCAGCGTTTGAATCCAAGTAAAAAAAAAGATCTCCGCGGGCCGGATAAAAGGACCTCGCGGGCCGCATCCGGCCCGCGGGCCGTAGTTTGGAGACCCCTGATCAACACCATAACTAACCTAACTTTTCACCCAAAGCATAATCTAACACAACTCCAAGCTAATATATCAACGCCTATGATTATAATAAACATAGATCTAATATAGATCATCACCATCTAATCTAAACATATAAATTAACTAAACTAAACTGAACTAAACTTAACTGAACTAAACTTAACTGTTAGAATATGTAATCTATAGTAATGTATAGACTGCCTCTAACACACGATTAGAATAATTGTAACTCTAAGCGAACCCTAACCCTAACACAACACCAACAGAGATTTTAACTGTAATATTTTACAAATCGTCACCCAACTTCAAATTAGGATTTCCCCACCCCTCACGCTCGAAGTGCTTCATCACTTAGAATCACTTACAGATTTCCCTTCTTTTCCTTTTACTAATTATATTTTAGGGGTCATCCATAAATGACGTCACACTCGTAGGGGGAGGGGGGGGGGGGCAGTAATTTTGTGACGGTGTGTGATGAGGGGGAGGGGGGGGTGTCAAATGGTGTGACGTCACACTTTTGCATTATAAAAAAAAGCGATGTTAGAAAACGAGTTTTAGCCATTATTTCGTGTTTTGCAAAACGATTTTTAATAAATTGTGGTAGAATTGATCAAAATACTCTATGTTGACATACATCAAGTTCTGACAAGGTTTTTGGAAAAATATCGACTGAGGTGTGACGTCATTTAGGGTGGTGTCTTGATTTTTGTGACGATGTGTGACGGAGGGAAGGGGGAAGCGTGAGGTCATTTATGGATGACCCCTTATTAAAAAATAAAAAGATTTCTAAGTTTAAACTTCGTCGAGGAAATCCAATTTGAACTACAATAATAATCA